AAGTTGGGGGTCGTCTTATACACCCAGTCGTCTTATATGCCGGAATATAGTACAATCTTGTTCACAATCATAGAATCCTTGAGTTGGAAGAGACCTTGTGGGCCATCCAGTCCAACCCCATTCTGCCAAGAAGCAGGAAAATCACTCCCACCAGCAGTTTTCAGCATAAATTTCTGGTCCAAAGCAAGCAGTGGAAGTTTCCCCAAGTTACCTTTAACAAAGAGAAATGAAATGTGCAAACAAGGCAGTCACAAATAAAAATCAGTAACAATTTCACTGCACACAGAAGCTAGGAAATGTGACACAGGAATTATAAAAATTGTGGTTGACCAAGCATGCTCATTACATTTCTCCATTGTAGTTGCAACCAGAGGAGCTGCATTGCTCACAAGGAACAAAAACGTATACTATGCTGTGTTAACCAATGTACAGGACAAACCGGGTTTGAACAAAGTGTGACAATCCAAATGCAATAGGTCCGCTATAGAGACCTCGGACCTGAGAGTTACATGACGACCTATCCTTAATTCCAGACAAGTAGGTGAGAGAAAGGAGTGTTGTCAACTGCCAGCCATGACTTGAAGGTTCTGCTCATTTGGAGAAGCACAACTTGGACAGGTCTCGTGTACAAAAGCCCAGCTTTTATCACAAGCATTGATGCATATTCTTGAATGGGGCCATTTTTTGTACTTCCGCTTATCTGCTTTTGTGTCTCTGTATGTGTATATAAGGAGGGGGAGAGAAGGAATGAGCAATCTTCCAATCTGACTTTTGTACCTTTAACAGCTTTCAACAAAGAAAAGATTCAGCACTTGGAAAATGAAAGCTGAATCCTGTCAGTCAGCTGTTAAAGGCAGCAGAAACCTCCTAGGGTTAAAAAAAATAGCAATTAGAAAATTACGGAGGTCTTAGCCATGATAGTCAGCAAAAATACGAGTCTTACAGCATTTCAAAAGACTTAACACATTTGTTATAGCATAAGCTTTTGAGGAATGGAGCCTATTTCATCAGAGGTACTGAATGTTCTCCTGCCAAAATTCCATTCCTCTGATGAAATAGACTCCATTCCATGAAAGTTATATGGTACTATGATAAATATATTAATTTAAAATAAAGATGCGGGCCGTCTTCACCACTGGCTATACTGCCTGAGGCTGATGAGTGCTGAAATCCATCAACTGGAGAGGAACACATTGCTCACTTTTGCTTTATGGTGTTATGGAAAGTATGTGTTCATGCTCATAATGTGTAAAAGGAAGCATAGAGCCTGTATGTATTGTTTGTTTATGCACCTATACATCCACTTCACCTTTCATAGAATTATAGAATCACGGAGTTGGAAGAGACCTCATGAGCCATCCAGTCAACCCCCCGCCAAGAAGCAGGAATATTGCATTCAAAGCATGCCTGACATATGGCCAGCCAGCCTCTGTTTAAAAGTTTCCAAAGAAGGAGCCTCCACCACACTCCGGGGCAGAGAGTTCCACTGCTGAACGGCTCTCACAGTCAGGAAGTTCTTCCTAATGCTCAGATGGTCTCCAAGGAAGCAGAAAACAAGCTTGCTCCCTCCTCCCTGTGACTTTCTCTCACATATTTATACATGGCTATCATATCTCCTCTCAGCCTTCTCTTCTTCAGGCTAAACATGCCCAGCTCTTTAAACCGCTGCTCATAGGGCTTGTTCTCCAGACCCTTGATCATTTTAGTCACCCCTCTGGACACATTCCAGCTTGTCAGTATCTCTCTACAATTGTAATGCCCAGAATTGGACACAATATTCCAGGTGTGGTCTAACCAAGGCAGAATAGAGGGGTAGTATTACTTCCCTAGATCTAGATCAGGGATCCTTTTTAAACAGAGGGCCAGGTTACAGTGCCTCAAACTGTTGGAGGGCTGGATTATAATTTGAAAAAGCATGAATGAATTCCTATGCAAATTGCACATATCTTATTTCTAGTGCAAAAAACACTTAAAAGCAATACAATAATTAAAAAAGAACAATTTTAACAAATATAAACTTATTCGTATTTCAAGGGGAAGTGTGGGCCTGCTTTTGGCTGCTGAGATAGGATTGTTGTTGTTATGTGCTTTCAAGTCGTTTCAGACTTAGGTTGACCCTGAGTGAGGGCCGGGTAAATGACCTTCAAGGGCCACATTTGGCCTGCAGGCCTTAGTTTGAGGACCCCTGGTTTGAGTGTTGGACTAGGGCCACAGTTCAAATCCCCACTCCACCATGGAAATCCATTGGGTGGCCCTGGGAAAGTGGCACTCTCTCAGCCTTGGAGGAAGACAAGGGAAACCTCCTTCTGAACAAATTCTGCCAGTAAGGCCTTAGGGCCATGATGGCGAACCTATGACACGTATGTCAGCACTGACACGCGTAACCATTTTCGATGACACACAGCCGCATGGGGCCGCATACAGAGAAGATGGGGCCGCTTCCCAAGAAGGACATTTCATCCTCGGCTCCTACACTAGCATTTTTCTATATTGCCCAGATATATGGTTGACCCTGAGCGAGGGCCGGGTAAATGACCTTGGAGGGCTGCATCCGGCCCCCGGGCCTTAGTTTGAGGACCCCTGATCTAGACACTATGCTCCTATTGATGTAGGCCAAAATCCCATTGGCTTTTTTCCCCGCCACATCACATTGGCCCTGTTCTTTTGCCTTTAACAACAGCCTGAGATGCAGAAGTGAAGCCGGTGACATGTTTCTGTGGCTGCTAACTTTTTGAAGAAGCCTTCCAAGCTGTGCGCTTTTGAGAGCATCTTTATTTGCAGGGGTTAAGAGGTGAGCTTTTTCATCTCATAGAGATGAATGTTAGCTGCTGCCATACTAATTGCCGCAGATCAATCCACTATTCAAGGCACAGCAAGAGGAGTGGAAGGCGGCTCAAAAGCTGCCCACTTTACTTAGTGCCAGAAGCTTAGCTTCAACTGCTTAATTTCTCTGTATTCCCTGGTTGTTGCAGGCACAGAAGGAGCAGCAACTCTGTTAACTAGTGACTCTGGGAAGACTTTCTGAAACTTCAAAGGTCAAAGTCTTTCTGGCCAGCATGCTATCATTCTTATCCTTTTATGGACTCTTCTTTGTCTGATCTTTCTGACTCACACAAGCAGTTACCTGGCACATTTCTTTGATGTTCTTGCAAAGCTCCAAAGCAAACACATGCACACACACACACACACTTTCTTCCTAGGAGAGAAGGCCTTCTGAGGGCCTTGAGACTGCACAGAATGGACCTTGCCCCAGCCTCTTTTTCTCCAGAGCATAATATGGGAGATTAGCTTCCTCCCCACCACTCCCCCAATCTTAAGCCGGAAGGGGAGGGAAGAAAAGGAGGAGGAAAGAAAGTAGGCAGTGAGGAAATGTCAGTGAAAACAGCAGGACTGAGCGGCACTTCAGTGGCAAGTGAGCAGGACAAGGGCATAGGATGAATGCACAGAAGATGTAATGGCCATGGAACAGGCAAAATCCAGTATGCCCGTAAACTGGGGCAACAGGCTCCATGCGCATAGAGAGTTGGCATTGTCAAGCACTTGCCAAGGTCCAAACCCAAGCTGACCACCACCACCCACAAATCTGGGTCTTGCTGTTCCTACCTCTCGCCCTCCATTGTTTACTATGAATGAGACCATAGTAGCTTGCTTTCCACTTTCCCCATTCGATGTTGTATAGGCTGAAGAAGTGAGCAAGCAAAGAGGTAGAAGAAACAGCAATAAGGAAGAAGAGGGTCCTACTGAAAACATCTTGTCCAGAAATCAACACAATAATTTTAATATATTGAAATATATTAAATTTCAAATAATATATTTGAGCCCTTCACAGAGATGAGCTCAGACTCAAAACTGAGAATGAAACCCTCAATGCTGGCTCCTGACCCACTCCATGGATCTGATAGTACTACGGAAAGAATAATAATTCCCAGAATAATTTGAGTCCAGCAACAACCTAATAATTACTGACCACATTTGCGGACTGTGTTGAACTTTATTCTATCTTGGAGATTAGGCTTATATGTATTTATTCTGTCTGTATTTTAATTTATTATGATTTTATGATGTTTTAAGTTGAAATTTGTGCATTGAATTTCTGCTGTTAGCCGGTCTGAGTCCCTCCACGAAGGTAGAGAAGATCGGGATATAAAAGTTTTAAATAAATAAATATATTTTTTTTTGTTGTGTCAGGAGCGACTTTAGAAAGTGCAAGTTGCTTCTCGTGTGAGAGAATTGGCCGTCTGCAAGGATGTTGCCCAGGGGATGCCCGGATGATTTGATGTTTTTATCATCCTTCTGGGAGGCTTCTCTCATGTCCTCGTATGAGGAGCTGGAGCTGATAGAGGGAGCTCCCTGGATTCGAACCTGCGACCTGTCAGTCTTCAGTCCTTCCGGCACAGGGGTTTAACCCACTGCGCCACCGGGAGTTCCTTAAATAAATAAATAAGAACCCAAAAACCCTGCCATTCACCTGGGACCCATTCACACTATGCAATTACAGTTCTATGATTCCACTTATATTGACACAGTCCCCACCCAAGCAATCCTGGGGTTTGTAATTTGGTCAGAAGCACCAAAGGAGCTCTCTGGCTATGTATGCCTCTACACAACAAATCCCAGGATTCACTGGGGTGGAACCATGATGATAAAAATGGAATAATTGTGTTACAATTCTGCAATGTAAATGGGTCTCTTATTTTAAGGTTCCTAGATCAGCATTCCCCAATTTGGTCTCCTCCAAATGTGGGTGGACTACAACTCTCAGCTACAGCCAACCACACTAATGAAGGTTGATGAGATGTTTTGGAAGAGCCAGGTTGTGTAAGGCTGTTCTAGGAAGCCAGCCCCTCTACTCCTAGACCTGTGGTAGGCCTCCACTCCACTTGACTTCCACCCCTTGCTCAGAATCCGAAGGGATGCTGGATTTTTGATGGCATGATGATGGCTCTGAGTGAGTGAACAGCAGGTAGGTGGATGGGTGGCAGTGGGTCTGAGTGGCTTACCTGCAGCCTGTGTGCCTGGCAGGGGAAGCTAGCTGCGAGTGGAGAAGCGACTGAGCAGAGCAGCAGTACTGGTGCAGAGTGGGACACGTGGACGACCTATAGAAGGCAGCAGAGACGGAGCAACAGAGAGAGAAAGAGAGAGAGAGACAGGGACAGAGAGAGAGAGAGAAAGGATGGAGGGATGGATGAAGAAATGGAGGAAGGTGCATGGAGGAAAATAAATGGAAGAAGAGATACAGATGAAGAGAAATGGGAGGTGCATGAGGGATGGGTAGGAGATGGAGGGGCAGAGAAAGGGTGGGGAGGAAGAGAAGAAAAAACACAAAGTCAAGAAAAAGAAGGACAGCACTAACAAACAGAAAAAAACATAGCAATGCCCCCAGGCCAAACAAAGAGACTCAGCCACACACTAGGCCACAGGAAGAAGAAAGAGAGCCAGAGGAAGTAAGAGATAGAAAAAGGAAAGAGAAAAACAGATAGCAGCAGCAATTCCCAGGGAGGAAGACGAGCGGCCACGGAGTCACAGGGGTCAGGAAGAGATAGGCAGCCGGACAACTTGGGCCAGCGAACTACTACCAGCAGCAGGATATGAGAGCAAGAAAGCACCAAGGAGGGAGGGCAAGGGACCACTCAAGAACCAGGGGCACTTGAAGATACAAGGGAGGAGACAGAAGAGCAGGGAACTGGCCCAGGGAGAGCTAAATGCAGGAATTGGTTACTCATTCCATAACAAGAGGAGAGAGGCTGGAGCAAGAAGTGCACGGCAGAGCCAGGTTTGAGAACTCTAACACAATAGCAACAATAACCAGGAATGTGGTCAGGTATTTATGACAGCCTGTTGAAGCCCAGAAATCAGCTGGGAAGAAGATCAAACATTCATTTCTTAGACCGTAGTTACAAGCACCCTACCCCCACCAGCTCCCGATCATGCTGCTTGGGACCAACAATCAAAAAAGGAACTTTTCCAAACTCTTGGCCATATTTGTAGGAAATTCTACAATTACTAGGAAGACGCTGTTACAGATGTCTTAATGGGCTGTGAATATATGCATGTACAATATATCCTGACACCATCTGCACACTGAATCCTCCAACACATCTCTGGAACCGTGCTACATGCCTCTACAGTATGTTTGGGAATTGCCTTGGACTTAGCCGAGGGACACAAACTATTGCTTTTCTCTCTCTGAAGTTGGCACTATGGGGTGCTGATGGGGTGGGAAGGAGACCCCAAATGTGAACAAGGAATGGGGCATATCCATATGGAAGGAAAAAAGAAAGGAGAGTGTCTATGTACCAAGGAAGAGGGTTCATCTGCCAGGGCAAGGAGCCCCCGGTGGCGCAGTGGGTTAAACCCCTGTGCCGGCAGGACTGAAGACCGACAGGTCGCAGGTTCGAATCCGGGGAGAGGCGGATGAGCTCCCTCTATCAGCTCCAGCTCCTCATGCTGAACATGAGAGAAGCCTCCCACAAGGATGATAAAAACATCAAATCATCCGGGTGTCTCCTTGCAGACGGCCAATTCTCTCACACCAGAAGTGACTTGCAGTTTCTCAGGTCGCTCCTGACATGACCAAAAAAAAAAAAAAACTGCCAGGGCGACACCAAGGTGGGGGAAAGAATTTTTCAGGGTAAGTAGAAAGCAAACTAGTAAATCCGGTGGGACTCAGAAAATTCAAAGCAAAATACAGGTAGCCAAGGATCTGGATGAAACCAAACCATTTCCAACAAAGCCCAAACACCTCCAGGGCAGGAAAGTTATATGGAAAGCCTAAATCTAGGCCTCATGCCACTAAAATGCAAGATCTGTTCTTCTTATAACTACCCACCACCCTTCTGCAAAATAAAACAAAAACTTGTCCTTTTTGCAATCCAACACTAACTAGCCACCCAACTTGGAAAATATGAAAAATGTTTGAGTAAGTATGTACCAAAGGATGCATGTTTATTCAGTTCCCTCTCTCTCCAAAAATGAGGAAACTGGTTCTCTGAGCTTGGGAGGGAATGGGGTTGTCACAAAAGGAAATAAAACATCCAATCACCTCAGAACACATACATGCATACATGTCTTCTGTCTTACATCCAATGTCTCTTAGCTCCACTATCAGTTGAGAGCACCAGGGCTGAGTCTTGGAATTGCCACCTATCTAACTATGCGTCCAAGTATCATTTTTGGTGGCCCAGTAAAAACTGGTAATAGAAAGCCTCTATCTACTCCAATAGGAGCCCCCGGTGGCGCAGTGGGTTAAAGCGCTGAGCTGCTGAGCTTGTTGACCGAAAGGTCGTAGATTCGATTCCGGGGAGCGGCGTGAGCTTCCGCTGTCAGCCCTAGCTTCTGCCAACCTAGCAGTTCGAAAACATGCAAATGTGAATAGATCAATAGGTACCGCTCCGGCGGAAAGGTAACCAAAAGACCAAAGGTTGGTAACCACTGTTCTACAGAATATCCTCATTTTTGCTTCTTCATAGAGATAAACATGAACCAGTCTAGATTTCTGAGCCTTGATAAATATTATCTTCTTTGCACCTACTAGAAGCCCTGATTTAACTAAAGAGCCGGTTTCCCAGTGGTTTCTTATAGGTGTAGCCACCCCTCCAAATAAAATATGAGGAACAGAAGTGGGAGAATATAGAAATGGAGTTATCAGTTCCCAGGAAAAGAAAGGGAAGAAATCATGCAAACTTTCAGATGTTGTTGGACTGCAACTCCCAATATTCCTTGCCGTTGGCAATACTGGTTAGGTCTGCTGGGAGCTGGTGTCCAGCAACGTCAGGAAGCCTGAGTGATTTCCACTTGAGCAGGAAGGCCTTGAAGTGTTAAACTGCCTTGTCACATTTACAGGGAGGAAACTATCTTTCATTTGAAACCAGCCTGTATGTATTGTTTGTTTATGCACCCACACACCCACTTCTCCTTTCGTAGAATGATAGAATCATGGAGTTGGAAGAGACCTCATGGGCCATCCAGTCCAACCCCCTGCCAAGAAGCAGGAAAATCACATTCAAAGCACCTCTTACAACCTCTGTTTAAAAGCCTCCAAAGAAGGAGCCTCCACCACACTCCAGGACGGAGAGTTCCACTGTTGACAGATCTCACAGTTAGGAAGTTCTTCCTACTGTTCAGGTGGAATCTCCTTTCTTGTATTTTGAAGTAATTGTTCCATTGCGTCCTAGTCTCCTGGGCAGCAGAACACAAGCTTGCTCCCTCCTCCCTATGACTTCCTCTCACATATTTATACATGGCTATCATATCTCCTCTCAGCCTTCTCTTCTTCAGGCTAAACATGCCCAGCTCTTTAAGCCGCTCCTCATAGGGCTTGTTCTCCAGACCCTTGATCATTTTAGTCGCTCTCCTCTGGACACATTCCAGCTTGTCAACAAGTTCACCTACAACTAGTTCACCTACATCTAGAGAGCACTTTGGACTCAAACAATGATGGATCTGGACCAAACTTGGCACAGATCCTCAATATGCCCAAATGTGAACACTAGTGGAGTTTGGGGAAATGAGACTTGACATTTGGGAGTTGTAGCTGCTGGGATTTATAGTTCACTTACAAAGAGTATTATGAACCCCACCAATGATAGAATTGGGCCAAACTTTCCACACAGAACCCCCATGACCAACAGAAAATACTGTGCCTTTTGATGGTCTTAGGTGATCCCTCTGACACCTCCTCACAACCCCCCCCCCCCAGGGGTCCCGACCCCCAGGTTGAGAAACACTGATCTAGACACTATTCTCCTATTGATGCAGGCCAAAATCCCGCTGTTTTGTTGTTTTTGCCACTGCATCACATTTTTCAGTTGAAAAAAAGGGAGAAAGACAGAACGGCTGCACCAGATATTGTGAGTATTGTTGGTGGCCACTCGCCTGGCCAGCTATAGGGAACATTCCCCTTTTTTCAGTCTATGACTCCCCAAATCAGCCAGGTAACCAGCATGCTCGCTGGGAAGCTGTGGGAATTTCCCTAACTCCTAGGACACAACGTAAAATGGCTGAAACAGGGGGGAAATTGGGGGAAAGGATCAAAAACAGTTTCATATTCCAATGTACTTTTGCAGTGTTTCATCAGTCTGGGGGAGAGACTGTAGGCAGGGGTGGCTCGTCCATTATGCGAAGTAAGCGGTCGCAGAACACTTTTTTTGCCAGGGGCGCAGAGGCACCTCTGTAAATGCCCCTCGACTGCCATTTGAGGAGCGCCCCCTCAGCTCACAACAGGCCTAGCAGTCCGAGGAGAGCCTCGGCTTTCTTGCCTCGCTGCCGGGCAATCCTCTTCCCCAAGGGGCCGGGCCCTTGAGCCTCGCCTATCCCCTCTTGTTCCTGCTCCACCCGGCCACGGGTGCATGAGCAGAGCTGATGCTCAATCGTTCTCCACGTTCGATTCCCTTCCCCATGCCTCCTCTCCTCTCCCCAATCCGCGGGTGGGCCAAGGGGCGGAGCCGCCGCGCCTGGCCCGCTTCGGGTCCGGAGGCGTGTCTGAAGACCCCAGCATGCGCACCAAAAGTCGCCTCTTCTCCTGACTTTCTCTTCAGCCATTGGGACCAAGAGAGAGAGAGAGAGAGAGACCCTCCAGCTGGAGGTATCTCCCACCTCCGCTCCCTCCTTTGCCTACCTTCAGGAAAGGTGGGCATCTCCACCTCTCTCTCTCTCTCTCTCCCTCTCTCTCTTGGTCCCAATGGCTGAGGAGAAAGTCAGGAGAAGAGGTGACTTTTTGTGCACATTACGCAAGTAAGCATTTGCAGTATAGTTGATTTTGCCCAGGGGCGCTCTTGAGGCGCTCTTGGGGGAAAATAGACTTTGACATATGCGAGTTGTAGTTACTGGAATGTATAGTTCACCTACAATCAAAGCGCATTCTGAACTCCACCAATGATGGAATTGAACCAAATATGGCACACAGAACTCCCACGACAAACAGAAAATATATATCAATGATTGGTTGGGGGGGGGAATACTGTTTGCTTACCGTTGAAAGTTACCTAGGGCCGCCTCTGACTGTAGGACACTCCTCATATTGATGAAAATAATATGAGAAAAGTTGCCTGACATATGCAAAGGGTGACCCATCCCTCCCAGAGTAAACGGGCAGTAC